TCCCGACTCGCCCGCTGAGAGCCCTTTCTGATCGCGAGCGGTGGTGGCGGAGCCGAGGCGGCGGCACGGGACCTGCAGTCGCCGGGATTCCCTCCAGGTGACGATGCTCTGGTTCTCCGCCGTCAGGGCTCTGGCTGAGCGTCCCCGCCGGCGCTCGCCCGGGATTACCTGCTGCGTCTTGCTGCTGCTCAATTGCTCGGGGGTCCCCATGTCTCTGGCTTCCTCCTTCTTGACAGGTAGGGGAGGGGGCTGGAGGGACCGGCCTCCCGGGCGCCGGCTGGGTACCTGGGAGAGGAGGCGCTGGCGCGCCCGGGGATGGGAGGGTTCGGAGCGAGCACCTAGGCGCCTGCCCCTCTCTGGCTGGTGGGGATGAAGCGAAGCCCGCGGGGTTGAGGGGTGGGAGGCAGTGAGTAGGTTAGGGGCGGAGAGGATGCTGACATCAATATAGTGATAGAAATTCTTTCATCTGAATGGAAGAAACCCCTTGATTTGTTTTTAATATCCCCCTCAACCCTTATTTTGACCTACTCGCCCCGGTACAAGTAAGGAAAAGTGCGCACCGTCTTTCACACAACCTTCTTTCTGACCCTCTAAGGTTCCAGTATATCTCGTGTTAGGAGTGCTTTTTACAGCACCCGCTCTTCAGACCTTGAATTTAGAGAAACGACCCTATTTTAAAAGGGTAATAATAGCGGGATATAGTAATTACATGCTTCCCGGCAGGTGAGGGCCTCAACTGCTATTCTGAAGGACATACTTTACTGACACCTGGTGCAGAAAAGAAAATATTGAGTCAATTTCTAAGAGAAGAGGAAAGATGATGTGATTTCAAATCAAGACAATAAGAGCCAGATTCATAGAAAGGCCTTTTCATTGACGCGGTCCTGAATGTTGTTCAAATTTAAAATCTGCCCGAATGGCCAATTTGAATTTATTTGTCACATGGGGGTGTGTGTTCAGTTGAAATGCCTGCGTAAAAGAGGAGTATTATTAAAGATCCCCTGAATTGTGTTTAATCCCTATGGCTACAGTCCTTTTTTTAAAAAAAACATGTTCAAATAAAACTATTTAGGATAGATTTTTTTTAGAGGGGGGTGGAATTATATTTATTTCTGGTGAGTTTGATCATTTAAAACTCATTAGGAATTTCTGAAATTTGGGTAGTCATTTCAAAAAGCATTAGTGTAAACATTTTAAATTTTGTAATAATGCCAATAAGCTAAGTTTAAAATAATTTTTTTCTCTTCATTTCAGGTTCTGTTGCAAAATGTGAAAATGAAGGTGAAGTCCTGCAGATCCCGTTTATCACAGACAACCCGTGTATAATGTGCGTCTGCTTGGTAAGTAGGGAGGGCAGGTCATGGGAAGCCAGCTAATTGCTCCCTCTGACCAGGGGAACCCATTCAATGTAATTATATAACCAGATCTTAAACATGGTTTTTGGTCATTACAAAACTGCACATAGCTAGAGAATGGAGTTCAGTTGAATTTCTGAGTTTTATGGACTTTGGCAATTTCTATGTCATCTGGCTGGGAATTCTTCTCTTTGACCTCATCTTTACAGAAGTAACTTTAAGGATGGACTTTGTATGGCATTGTCTCGGTGACAATTACCATCTGCACTGTCTGCTCCCAGGAATGGCCGTTGCCATCAAGTTGCAGGCGCCATCAAACTTGCTGCCTTGATTCTGTCATCTGAGCTCAGTGTGAAAATGGCGAGATAACATGTAGGTATCTTACCAGTGATAAGGTGTGTGACAAGGGGAAAGAGAAGTGACAGTTACAAAAGGCCAACATGAGGACAAGATGTAACCTGGGATTTCTTGGCCTGTTAGAGCCTAAACTCAAAAAACCGTCCTGATATTTTGGATTTGGAAACATGAGTCAGGGAGGACATTTGGTTCTTAATAGAGAATGACACTTGGCTGTCAGCTTCTTCATTAACCCTGGCAGTGGCAGTAGATTTAAAAAAAAAAAAAGAATTTGTTTCAACTTATTTTAGCTTAATAGTTAATGATAAGAACTAGTAAGTAACCACATGGGGGAGATTAAGTTATAGGAATAAGACTCTCTGAGATGAAATGTAGACTCACAAAGAGCAGCGTTTTTGTCTAAGGGAGTGTTACCTGCCAATCACTCTTGGCAAGCCTCGATGAAAAGCTACACACCACAAAACCCTGTTGGAAACGCATGAAGGCATCAGTGCGAAACTGCAAAGAGAGAGGTGAAGGTTTGTGATCAGATCAGCGTTCTGCAGGGAGCTGGCGAAGGGGCTCTTCTCTGTGTAGCTGGGAGCCAAGCCATCTGGGTTTAAACTACCCAAACTTTTTCATGACGAGAGATGAGGTCAATGTTGCGAAATGATAAGTGGGCGAAGGTGCGTGCCTGGATCAAATGATGATCAGGTTCTGCTCACGAAGGGAACCAGCAGAATCAGAGGTGAACATGCCCTTCCCCGGCCGGGAAGAGAAACATTGCTGCCTTGATAGGGAAGGGCTCCGAGAGGCAGGCTCTGCAGAGGCAGGCTCTTTTGTGTTTGTGAGCTGTCCTTAATGATCTTTCACTAAATGACCTGTTGAAAAGAAGCTCTGCATTTGAATTTTGACGCAGTTATATATTTACAAATGCAGTGTGTGTGCGTTGGGGGGGGGAGGGGAGGGAGGATATGACTTTCCTTTCATTTTCTCTTATCTTGATATCGTGAGTGAATTATTTTATAATAATCTCTTTATAGGAAATATACCCCGACGAACATGTAAATGTGCTAGGAGCGCCGAGCACATGTGAAAATATTGTTTTTCTCCTCCCCGATATTACTGTGCTTAGAGTGTAAATGGGCCGCTTGGGTTTTGCACAAGGTTCCCAAATTACATTATGAAAAATTTCCCACAGAGCGCGCCCCTTCTCGGGACCACACCCTGGCGGGAAGAAGTTCTTTCTCTCAAAGTGCGGCCTTACTGATCACCCGATCAGGGCTAGAATCCTGCCCTCTGAGAGAAAGGAGTGACTCAGAAGACAGAAAAAAAATGCATATGCTGGTAATCCAGTGAAAATCATGTATATTTCAGAGAAGTATTGATTAAGCTTAGAAGGATAGCAGGTCTGTGTATGTCTTGAAGTAACATTCAGAGGTATCTGCCTAGGTGGAATCCTTTTGAAATGTGCTCAGTGGGAACTCTGGCGCCCCAACTCAAGTTACTCATGAGATGTCTCGGAGCCTCTCCCTAGCAAAGGCTCAGTCACGTGCTCTGTGGCCCATGCATGGGTTTGGGGTCCTGGGCCCCAAGTTATCATAGTCATTATTGCTTCCTAAATATTTGTAATGACTTGATACAATGGAGTAAGAATAGCTGGTTGGCCTGGCTCTGTGGTTGAGCATTGACCTATGAACCAGGAGGTCTTGGTTTGATTCTCAGTCAGGGCACATGCCCGGGTTGCAGGCTCGATCCTCAGTGGGGGACATGCAGGAGGCAGCTGATCAATGATGCTCTCTCATTATTGATGTTGCTCTTTCTCTCTCCCTCTTCCTTCCTCTCTGACATCAATAAAAATATATTTCAAAAATATTGAGTAAGAATAGATGGATGACCAGATCTCTATTTGTATATGCTCTTGTAACTTTCCACTGCAGCCCATGGGTGTCGGAGTGGCCCGCACTGCCATGAAGCTGCTTAGCATTTTGATACTTAGGATTTTGATACATTTAACAGATGGATAATATTAGCAGTAGCAGCTAATATTTATGAGCCACTTTATTTGTGGCGCTTATCTACATCTGCATTATTTCATTGAATCCTCCGAAAAATCTTTCGAGAGCCTTTACCCCCATTTTACAGATGAGGAAACTGAGGTCAGCGGAGTTAAAGGCATATTTTAGCAAATATCGGAGCTGGAACTCATAGTTTTCCTCTGCCTCCAAGGTAGCGCTTCCCAACCTGTGGGTCGCGACCGCTTTGACGGTCAAAGGACCCTTTCACAAGGGTCGCCTAAGACCATCCTGCATAGCAGATATTTACATTGTGATTCATAACAGTAGCAACATTACAGTTATGAAGTAGCAACGAAAATAATTTTATGGTTGGGTCACAACATGAGGAACTGTATTTAAAGGGCCAGAAGGTTGAGAACCACTGCTCCAAGGCACATGCCTATTAGCAAGTGAAACAGGCTGTTTGCTGAGTGGACACGTGGAAAAGCGAGGAGAAAGTGGAAAGACCGTCACTTACTTTACTACTTGGCGTCGCTTTGAGTTATTTTGTTTTTTTCTTTGGAGTCTCTCAGGAGCCCGCTTAGCTGACATTTGTTAATCAGATTAGATGAAAGGAAAGTCTGCTTAGGAGGTCGGCTGACCTGTGGGGAGCGCTGGTTGTGAGCTGGTTTTGTGTACGTATGTTAAGAGGGTATGTAATAGTCAAAACTGTACTTTGCATAAAGAAAATAGTCATATTTAGTTTGTGTTGGTCCAGCCTTTTGGCAGAAAGGCACCTAAGACTGAACATAAGCTCATATCTTATTTCATAACATGTATATAAAAAAAGAAGCTAACCTCAACGTATGCTTAAAAAAGACGTAAAATGTTACAGTTGGGAGGAAATAGGTGGCACAAAGTCCTGCATATAATTACGCTTTTAAAGCTTGAAAAACCCCACAAAATCAACTTGGCCTGATTTAAACTTTTAAGCTCCGAAATGTTTCAAAGGCGGAATGAGCTCATTTCTGTGGGAATTCTGAGGATGACAGCGAGGGCAGTGGCCCCGGCGAGCAGAACCCAAGAATTTTCTTCTCGTTTAGCCTCGCCTGCATGGCCCCAGCATCTTGCCAGAACCAGCCGGGGTCCAAGAATAACCTGTTTGTTAGCTGGTGATGGCTATCGCTTTAAAACGTGTGGGACAAAAAGCTTGGGTGCCTCTGTTAGAGGGGGAAGGTGAGAAGTCGGGCCCCTGGCCTGAAATCTGGGGGAGCAGGAGGCAGTTTAGGTGAAAGCTGCAAAGTGTTCCATTGTTTAGTTAGGAAGCAAAGCAGGGCTGCTCACCACCGCCTTACAAAATGGTCTTGTAAGAGGCGCAGGAAGGCGGGCCCAGACTCACTGCTGGTGTGTGTGTGTTTCTTTACCCGGTTCTTGCTAGAATTATTTTCCCATGATGTCTGGGGAAGCACATCAGTGCTGTCCCTGAGGCCCAGCCCACAGGAGCCAGCCGCATCCAGATCAGGAGTGTAAAGCTATTGTCTGGCTCTTTCGGGCGTCCCCAAAGCCACCCAGTGGCCCTGAGAAGTGGGGTCCTCCGACTTCTCACCCCTTTTCCTAAGGGGAGCAGAGAGGGCGTGGCCCAAGCCGGTGCCTTCGGCCCAGTCCTGGAAACCTGACACAGCTTCGGAGGCCGGGACTCCGAAAACCAGAAGTCAGCCAGAGAGCTTAGTTTGGCAGACATTTTGTTCAACGAAAAACATTATTCCGAGGTTTAAATTCCCTCTTTTAAATCCAGTGGTGCTAGGTAGAATACTTAGTCTGCTGTCTTCCACTTCTTAATCACAGAAGTCTTCCATCACCGAACAAGTAGCTACCAGCATCTTGGGTTCTCTTGGGGGCCTTATCTCTATAAAATCCTCATGTATTTTTATTGTTCAAATTAACTGGCTAGAGAAAAGATATCTATTATCTGAACAAGTGTTAGGCATATGTTTGGGAATGAGAGAGATAACATTGCATCAGGATTCAATTCGTGTGAGTGTACATATGTGTGTGTGAGAGAGAGGGGGAAAGGAGTTGGGGTGCAGATAGGGAGAGAGGAAGAGAGAGAGAACTAGAGAGATAAAGGAATCCAGATGTGTTCAGAAAGATACAGCACTTAATATATGCACATATACATAGGTTGCAGTAATTTTTTGAAAATTGCTTTGTATCATTTTTAGACTTTGCATTCTCACTAAGGAAGTGATCAGGATTCCTCCCTCCCTCCCTCCCTCCCTCCTTCCCTTCCTTCCTTCCTTCTTTCCATCCATCCATCCATCCATCCATCCATCCATCCATCCATCGAAAGTGTTGTGACCAATTGCCTTTCCATGGAACAAGGTATTCAATAGAACAGTTTCAGGGAAAGGTAATTAGTTTGTGGCACTGTGTTGGCCAATTCACCAACACCAGCTCTGAGGCCGTTGTTTTTTACCGAGGCCTCATTGAGGCTCAGAGAGCAGAGCAAATGTCCTGTGGTCACACAGTTACTAAGAGACTGACTGCGATGTGAAGCCGGTGCCTTCCCCACTAAACCAGTTCGCTGCTTAAACATGTAGAAAAATACCTCCAGGGACATCAGAGAGTGGTTTTGACCTCCGCAGAGCTGAC